GCCAGTAGGCGTCCCTACTGGCTGTGTGTGGAGATCAAGGTCGTCAGACCTGGACTTGGTCTGCCCTTGTCGTCGGGTTCCAGAGCCGGATCACGACACCAACACTTTCCGTGGCGTTGACTTCACACCACCACTTCTCACAGGAACAAAAAAACGAAAGAAAATGCAACAGGAGACGGAAAAACTCGCTTCGCGCGCGTTCGCTGGCCCAAGCTAATCTGTCTCTCCTTTCTTCCTTTCCTGGCTTTCCTCTCTTTTCCCTTACCCCTACTTTTCTACTTATGTCCCTTGAACTCTTTTTCCCCCTTTCTCTACCCGCCCTAGCCTACTAACTTGGCCTAACGGTGGAGCACCGTTACAATATATTGTACGTGACGGAACCTTAGAGCATAATATATATATTCCTGGAGGGAGCATACAATGCTTCGGCCGTGAGACTAACAAACAGAGAGAGGACCCGTAAAGCAGGATATGCTTTCTCTCTCTTACACTCCGATGATTGGCTAGCCCCCTTCCGTGTATACAGTAATAGTCGTTTCTAAGAGTGGAGCTGGTAGGAGAAAAGAGCATATATACCCTATCAAAAACTTCAATGCTGAATCAATGCTGAATCAACGTTGATTTTAGCGTTGAATCAACGCTGAAGCAACGTTGAATCAACGTTGATTCCATGAATGACGGAACACTGAAATCGGTCGTAATTTACATTGTTGATTCAACACTGATTAAACGTTGAATCCGCGTTAATTCAGCGTTGATCAAAACGTTAAAATTAAATTTTAAAAAATTACAAAGAAGTATTATAACATTTGGAGCAGATATATTTACGTGTATGGAGGTACTATCCGTATGGTAACACCAAAACAGGGGGGTTTAGTTACTTGATGTTCAATTGTATTGAATACGCATTATATTTTTCTATTATTAAATCAACGCTTATTCAACGCTGATTCAACGTTGAATCAGTGTTCATTCAACGTTGAATCAGTGTTCATTCAACGTTGAGTCATTGTTGAATTAACAATGTAAATTACGACTGATTTCAGTGTTCCGTCATTCACGGAATCAACGTTGATTCAACGTTGGTTCAGCGTTGATTAATCGCTAAAATCAACGTTGATTCAGCATTGATTCAGCATTGAAGTTTTTGATTAAGTATAGCTATACCTTCATACCCCTCTACCTCTTCAGCCAATATTTGGGAGTCTTGGGTTGAGACTTGGGACTCAATAATTTGAGAGTTTCGCGCGAGCACGTGGGCGAGGATTCGAGTAATAAGGGTCCCTACAGGAAATATATGGCTGTATTTTTTGGCCATAATTTTTGCCTATAATTTTATCTATAATTTATGGTTAAAATTAATAGGCATAATTTTCGGTGCATATTATAGCCAAAAAATGTGGCCATAAAATGTTGTCAAAAAATGATCAAAAAATTTAGCCGTAAAATATCGCCAAAAAATGACTAAAAAATTTGTCCATAAGATATTACCAAAAAATGCCATAAAACAAAGTAATGGTTACTACGGTTGTAGTTGGTGTTTACACCCTTGTCTGAATGTCCAGCAAGGCAGAGGTCGCAGCATCAAATATGTAAACTTAGACGTTAGTTCAATATAGTCTTTCATGCACTGGAATCACTTACCGAAAATGATGGAAAAGGGATAAAAGGTGTTAAAAAAGTTAAAGTTTTAGGAGATTTACCAAAATTTAACATTGTAGATGGATTTGTTCCTGACATTTTGCATTGTAATAATTTAGGAAATGGGGAAAGATTTTTAAAGTTTTGGATTGATTCAAACAAGTTACCATATTCTTTACAAAAGGAGGACATAGATAAAATTAATTTGTACTTGCAAGATATAAAGCTTCCTAACCAATTACAATGATTATCTCGTAACATTGATGACCGATTTAAATATAAAGGGGTAGAATATGAAAATTGGATTTTGTTTTTAAGCGATACGATTTTAAAGGCTTTCCCAAAATTTCAGCCTCATGATAATCACTGGAATTTGTTTGTCAAAGGTTAATATATTTTAATGCAAGATAGTATAACCCAAGCAGAATTACAGCACGCGCATGAACTTTAAACAGCATTTGTTATAGAAACAGAAAGATTGTATTCACAAGGCATCATGACGTATAAAGTTCACCTACTCTTACATTTGACATCAAGCGTAGTGAACTGGGGACCAGCGTTGACTCATTCTGGTTATTGTTTTGAAAGTGGAAATGGCGATATTGTTCAAATCGTGCATGGGGCAAAAAGTGTGTGGCGCCATTTACCAGCCGAAGCTCAAAACAAGCTTCTCGGTGGAAGCAACTGCTCATCCCGCGCAGAGATTAGCAACGCACGTCAAACAGCGCGCTCTCTCCGTCTCTCTCTTTCACCGCAGCGCCTACCTTTAGGTAGCCAGCGCTGCTGCCACTCCACACTGGACTAGCGACTGCAACGCACGCTTTTCGTATCAAGTTGTAACTCAATAAAGAAATGTAATTTTACTTGTACGTCGTGCCTCGTTTTCTTTCACGACCTGCTTCGCACCTCCGACATCCTCGAGCACCGGAGAATAAGCTCCCTCACGGCCTCCATTCTCCAAAGGTGTAACACGTCCAATTAGTAAAGCAATTTCGATGCGACAGTGCGTATTATATACTTACAAGAATTTTTAAAAATTGAAAAGCCGGAGTCGTCTGTTTTAGACTACGTTTCTTATTTGGACCAAAAGCATGCAAAACATAGTTTGAAAGTTGCTAATGCTAGATATTTTGGAAAACATTATCCAACGAAAACAGAAATGATTAATGAGCTTTCTTTATCATTACATGCTCGGGCATATAAAAATATGGTTCAAAACAGGTGTTTATTCACTTCGTGTAATACAAGCAGATTCAGATCAGACAACTCTTTTGCGATAACCATAGATAAATGTTATGTAAAACTGGTTGAATTCATAGTAGATCCTGTTCAATCGTTGGAATATACGTTTTGTTATTTAGTAGAAGTTGAACAAAACAATAATCCATCGAAGAGAATTATCAGCGTGTCTAACGTTTTAACACCGATTGATACAAACCGTATACACAAAGTTTGTGTGCATCTTGTTTCAGATGTTCTTGATGCTGAATACATATGTGCTGTTCCCAATCTGTACTACGTTTGAAAAAATGCCTACTGTTAGTATACAATGAAATAAAAAAGTAATATAGCATTTATAAGTTTAAGTTTTTTTATACTGCAATTGTATGCAAGTAGTTGTTTTTGTATTGTACATGAAAAGGCACAGTAAAATATACAGTAAGAAATTATGTGAAAGTAATGTATTCTTATATTAATTATTAGCTTGAAATTATTACCCTCATCAGTATTTTTAATTTGTCAATTGTTCCTACATTACTCTGTACCGATTAAAATTATACTCGGTAAGTCACGGTTACGTACTATTGCTTCTTGGTACTCTACGCGTGAGAATATGCCAAAAATGAAAAGTTTTTTCGTATAAAAATTACGGCCATAATTATTAAGCTAATGTTTTGGTCACTTTTTTTGGCAAAATCTTATGGCCACATTTTTCGGACATATTTTTTGGCAATAATATGCACCAAAAATTATGTCCATTAATTTTAGCCATAAATTATGGATAAAATTATGGGCAAAAATTATGGCCAAAAAATACAGCCATATATTTTCTGTAGGGTGTGTACGCAAAAGTATGTTTAATACCACTTTAATGCTATAACGTTGAGCTCATTGTACATTACTTAATAAAGAGAAACTTAATGTAAATGTTACTTGGAATAATGTTAATAATTATACATGGTGATCAAGCGTGGCATCGCTTCCCGTACGCCAGCGCGTGTGAGAGAGAAAGACCTTGACTGAACTAGTCAAAGTCCTCCCTCGGCACCAGCGCTTGCTTGCGACGATGGCATGTCGTCGGCGGGCTGGGCTGAGACGCTACAAATATATATATATATAACTCAAGCTCTAGTGACATACGGTTTATATATTTCATCTATTGCAAATCCTAGAAGTCAATGATGCTGAGTGGGCTGCATGCACCGATTGGTATTTTTTTTGCAGCTGTAGACCTGGATCGAGTCCCGACTGGGAAATTTTTTTTCTTTTTTTATGTTACAGCGTACATTGTCATTGAATTATTGATCGGAAAAATATCGTCAGGGACATTCTTCTCTACAATTTTAACAATTTCTGTGAATATATTTTTTTTCCTTTGCAATACATTCTAAATACTTTTTCAACAAACTTGCAAACTGCTATAATATTCAGTGATAGCAAAATCAGATGACCTCTTTTTTTATTTCTGTCAAAGCCGAATGACTAGGTTCTGAAGTGAGCGTCAAAGGACATTGGTAACATTTTGTTTTATTTCAATATTGTTCGAATAACGAAACCAGCAGAGTGACCTACGACGTTGTCTATATATTTTTTTCTTGTTCCTTTTTCCTCCAGGCATCAGACGCCTTGGTTTGAAGCTCGCGCTGAAACTAGCCTCTAAAATTGCGTCCGTAAAATAGACACACACACACACACACACACACACACACACACACATATATATATATATATATATACATTACTTGTGTGTGTGTAACAGCCTTTGAAGAACGCACAACCATGGACATATAAGAATTAGACTGCTCGTTCTTGTGTACGGCGCTGAAGCACAAGTAGAAAGAGAAACAACATTGAACGTGTATATATGTCTCTCTCTCGCACGTTGCCAACGGAAGGGTCAGTAAACTAAGGCCAGCTGACGCAACCTCTCCACCGTTGGCAACGTGCAAGAGAGACAGGTATGCACGTTCGATGTTGTGTCTCTTTCTACTTGAGCTTTAGCGCCGTAGATAAGAACGAGCAGTCTATTTCTTATGTGTCTATGCGCACAACGCAGTGTGTGTTTGAACACGTGTTTGCGACACTGATAAAGACAGTAGTAGGAGTAGTAGTAGATTTTTATTGGCTTAGAGAAAACATACAGCCACTGAGTAGTATAATAAAGACAGCACAGTCTACAGTGGCAGTCGACAATTGCCTGTCAAAACCACTAAGTACAATTTATTCCAGTTTCTTTATCTTCATCTCACGTTTATTTAATTTTTAATCACAAGTATAATTAAAGTTCAATTTACGCCAAGTACAGAGAATAGTAGTAGCGGCCTGATGCTTGTTTGCTGTTGTAACAAGTTTTCGTCTGTTTGTTGTGGAACTATAGTAGATCGTGAATGTCGAAAACTTAGACCTCACAGTGTTCTCTAGACGTAAGAAAAAAGAGAATTTAAAGCCTTTTAGGCACTGCTCTAGAAGTTGTACTAGTGCATATTCTTGCAAATTACCCTGAGGATTAAGACAGTGGTGGTGAACGAAAGCATAGTAGGAGAGGATAACAGAGTTAAATAGGAGTTGTTGCCACTAGACAGCACCTTAAGTAGGAACCTGCTTGTAGTAGTACAATAACGTGAGTATTTATAGTGATTACGTTGCTGTCACTTCAGCTTCAAACTTGCAATATTGACTTGTGTTGTATGTGCTTGTTCTTTCCTTTCACTTTGTCACCCCAACGGAAAAAGTTAGTGTGAAAAAAAGTAGCCAACCGTAACTTTCTGTGATGTAATGTACAGTTTGGTTGGATTTCGGACCACAGTTACAGTTTGTTACGTTTTGTTACGTTTGATTATAGTCAACTACAACCCAACACATTGTCTTACGATTCGTTACATTTTATTATAATTCTAAAAAGACACTTGAATCTCGTGAAAAAGCAACTGTAGTAAACTCTAATAAACTGTTAGGAAGTGTTGTCATCTGTAATGTTTCATAACAGCTTACAGTTTTTTGCAGTTTATGACACTTTTTTATATTTTATTATCATTGATAACTTTTAGACACATTTCCTTACATTTTCGAATAAAATTTGCCTGAAATGAAAAAAACCTTGAGTAACTATTATGAAAAAGTATAAGTGTAACAGCATGTGGTAAATCATGTTAAAATGTAAGAAAATGTAAAAAAACGTAACACAACAAAATAAAGTGTAATAAACGTCCGAAATCCGTGAGACTATTACAGTTCCTTACATTTTCTTACATTTTCTTGCGGATTACGGCATATTATTACACATGTTCACGTTTTCTAACATTTTGTTACGTTTTCAAATTTCCGCTGGATAGCGAGACGTGTGTGTACTTTGCTGTCCAAGTAGCTCATCCAACTTTTACTGCATCAGTGGAACTCATGATACTTCAGCCTCAATTTAAAGTAAAGACTATGCCTAGGTATTTACTTAAGGGCCTAAAAAATACAGTGATAGTAACATCTCTGTATGTGCTAAAGCTTTCATCTTTTTTGTTAACCATTAAAATATCTATTCTCAGTGTGTATTTTATATTGAGGTTTGGTATGAATGGTAGCAGCTTAGATTGATGGATCTGAGTAAGTCGTAAAATGTGAGTAGGTGCATACGTACATTTAGATTACTGGCTTTTATAAAGGCATACATTTTCTCAGCTTGATAGTTATGTTAACTTCTAGACTAACCAAAACTAAATTGTTACTGTGTTACTACAGGGCTGTTATATATAGTACTGGCAGTACTACAGTTTTTAAGTCTTGGGGCTATACTGAATGCTTACCTCTTGCCTGCAATTTTGTAGTACAGTGCCTTCTAACTTGTTTCAAAGATATATGTACTACTTCTTAAAGATGAAAGTTAAATTTCACTGATGCTGTGAAGCCAGTGCCTATTTAGATACGTTCCGTGTAAATAAACGGGTAAAAATGTTGCATGGGTATTCTTGATTTTTGAACTTGATTGACATCGCTGATAAAGAGAAAAATATTTAAAATTTTGAAAACTGAGTCTGTCGTTAAATAAGCGTCTTAAACTTGTTTCGCTTGTTTCATCAATATCTCAATATATTAAATAAAAATACCAGCGTGTAGAGCGTAAAATTTCCTGTTGATTAGGTCTCTTGGAGTGTGTGGTCAGAGCAGATCCTATTTATGCAGTGATGCGGGAAGAGAGACAAGGGGGTATAAAGCAAAAGCCGAGCAGGCAGAATCAAATGTGTTTTTTTCAGCATACTGGTAGCGCTCATCATTTTTTGTAAGTCCAAAAAAAACTTTTAACGTCGTAAAAAATATACTGTTTGCGATATATCCAAATCGTATATCGTATATCGATGTACCGATGAAAAATGAAAAAAATATCGGCCCGATATATCGTCAGAAATATATCGGTGTTTCCGATGTATCGATATATTTTACCCACCCCTACATTCCTGTAGGAGAGTCGCATTGGCGATGTAGACAGTTCGTCCCCGATCGCTGAGTAGATGAGAGTTAAAACTCATTCTTCGCATGAACTCATGCCAATCCGTCTGTATGTATACCCCTACAACTCCGCGCTGGCGTTATTCTTCTTCATCCGGTGCATGGCATCCTTCAAAGTAATCCCCATTTGATTGAATAACACAGTTCCAGCAATGTTTTCACTTCTCGAAACAGTCCCGGAACTCACTTTTAGGGATGGCCTTGAGTTCTCTCATCGCATTATTCTTAGGCCGCGGGCACACGGAGAGCGTAACGCGTACTGCGTAACCATTTGAGCCCATGAGAGTGAGAGAAATTCGCGTCCTTTACCTCTCTCTCACTTTTATGGGCTTAAATGGTTACGCGGTATGCGTTACGCTCTCCATGTGTCCGTGGCCTTAACCATCGTTTTGTTATCAAATCGCTGTCTTTTAAGTGGTTTTTTCAGTTTTGGAAACATCCAATAGTTACAGGGGGCTATGTCAGGAGTGTATGGAAGTTGTTGCAGTAATGCAATACTGTGTTTAGTCAAAAGCTGTTGCACAAGATTCGATGAATGCGCTGGCGCATTATCGTAATGAAGGAGCCAGTCACCATTTGACCAAAAGTTCGTGCGTTTTTTTCTCTCTGCTTCACGAAAATATTTTAAAACTTTTACGTAAAATTCTTATTAATTGTCTGACCTGTCGGTGCATATTGGTAGTGCACAACACCTTCTCAATAAAAAAAAAATCAACATTGACTTAACATTCGACTTCGACTTTGACGTGCTTTTTTTTGGTCTTGGCGATACAGAGGGTTTCCACTGAGAAGACTGATACTTTGTTTCAGGATCATAACCATAAACTCATGACTTATTACAAGTACTAACGTTTCTAAGCAAAGTATAATCATTATTGACCATTTCTAAGTGGTCCTACGCGATTTCTTAGTGGAGCTGTTTTTTCTCTGTGCTAAGCAATTTCGGTATGAATTTCGCACACACGCGTGTCATTTGTAAATTTAAGGTTAAAATTTCCCAAACAATAGTTTTTGGTATTCCAAGGTCTTCTTCTTGTTTCTGCACAGTCATACGACGATCTTGTGCGATCGCAAGTCGCACTCGCTAAATATTATTCAATATTTTTGTTGACCAAAACGAAGATCACTATCAACAGAAGTACGGCCTTCTTTGAAACGATTAAATCACTCTTTTATTCGTGTTTTGCTCATACACTCATTTCCAAAAGCCTTTTGCATCATCTGAATAGTTTCAGAACTCGTTTTGACTGAAAGCAAAATTTACTGCAAATTTGTTGATCTTGCTTTTCAGTCATTTTTAACAATCACGAAATCCGGCAAACTCAAAAATAACTTTGTAAACAAAGACGCGCTGTGCATGAAATATGCGTCCGAAAGGTATCAACGAGCAACCGCTGAGTTCGTAAGGCTTTACTGTTTACGTTCAGGCACCACAGAGGTCGCTCGAACACTGTGGCGCGGAGTTGTAGTGGTAAGCCCGATACTTTCCGGACAGACCTCGTATACTTCGTAGTACCCATAAAACCGTGACTCGCACTACAAAGGTGTAAGAACTATTGTGTGCTTGTATTAATAAAGTATACAAATAAACATTACAATATATAACACTATTTATTCACACATACACACAAATCTTTTCCGGCTTCTCTGCGGGCTTGATGAAATATATGTATACTTCGATAGGTTATGGGCCTAGGCCCTAAGCTCCAGATGTTGTGTGTAGAAATTTGAAACGGTGAAAGTGGTTGTTAAGTACTGTGTGCAATTGGAGCGTAAGTGATGTATCATTGAACCACAGCCGAGGATCTGAAAATCAAAGAGATTAGGAAATTCGATGGCACCAGCTTCCAGTCATGGAAATTTCAAATTACGTAAATGTTGAGAGCCATCAACGTGGAAGGAATAACGAGTGGTATCGAAAAAAAATTAGACCCAACCGAGGAGCCAGGAGAGGAAAAAGTGTGGAAGAAAAATAATGCCCACGCTTTGCTAGTAATATCGTCAGCCATGACTGATGATCAGCTTGAAACTTTCTCAACTTGCGAAACCATGTAGGAGATGTGAAAAAAGATCAAACTTATCCAGGAGCCAAAGTGTGAAACAAATGAACTAGAGTTTTTACAGAGATTCCATCAACTAAGATTGGAAGAAAGGGAGTCCGTGATTCAATATACATCTCAAAAAAACAAAATTTGGCACAGCAATTCAAGGACTTAAAAGAAAATGTATCGGACGTGGCGGTTATGACTAAGATTCTTGGAGGGTTATCGCAAGTGTATAGTCCGTTTATATCGGCCTGGGACAGCATGGATATCGTTAAGCAGACGGTGGATTCAATGCAACAATGGCTTTTAAAAGAAGAAAAGCGGATGTTAGGCGAAAGGGCGATGGTTTCTGCTTTGTCATCAACAGTAGATCACATAAGATTCCAGAAACCAGATCAAAAGGTAAATAAAAAGATAAAAGTAACAAGGAGTTGTTATTATTAAGCAAGGTCACCTCCTGTTTGGAGATATTAGCTCGACGATAGCTCGGGCCTACCGTGGCAGCCGAGATAACCTACGTTGGCACAAGCTTTGCTTTTGTACTAACTCCAATGTATCAATGAAACGCGGAGCTATCTTGGATCCAGGTAGGGAGCCAATGTAGAGAAATGAGTGCAGAAAATATAACTCCAAAAAGGCATAAAAATGTAAACAATTATCATACTGCCAAATTAAAATAATTTTTTTTTCGTTTCTTAAATATTGGACGGTTTGTAGTTTGTAGTTCATTTAATCGTTAATTAATGTCAGCTACATTGAAATGTTCGTTACTATCTTTAGCTGCTCTACTCCCGTCCCACTCCATGCAATGTAGAAAGGCAGTTCCAAAAACAGACAAAACCATTTTTACAAGTTTAACGAGTTTACGTATTTAGGTTGCGTCGTTTTATAAAATACGCTACTCGGAACTCAAATTGCTCCAACACACGTATACATATATTTCGTACGACCATGATTGTACACTTGACACACTTTATATTTGTTGGAACGATGAAAAATATTACTTGTCAAGTGACAGTTAGTTTTTAATATATTATAGGTTACAGTACATCATTGAATTCGTGTAGACAAATTTTTCTGA